ACTCCTTATTCAATCTGTATGCTAAATAAATACTTCAAGAAGCTGGATTCTATGAAGAAAAATGTTGCATCAGAGTAGGAGGAAGACTCATCAACAGTCTGCATTTTATGCAAAAAAAACCTGCAGAGCACTTGGTTTGCTGCAAGTGGGGAGGACTTGCTGCAGTAGACCAAGCACTATGGATTGCATCTCAACATCAGGAAAACAGAAAGCCTTATCACTTGCCAGTAGGCAATGGGAGAAAAGACTAAAATGATTAATGACTCTATCTTAGTCATTTGTTGATGGACATTTGAGTTGTTTCCATTCTTGCTGTTTTCAATAATGATGCTTTGAACATAGGTGTACATATATCTGTATTTCAGTTCTAATTTCCTTGGAGTATATTCTTAGCAGTGCGATAGCTGAATCATATGGTATATCTGTGTTCAGTGTTTTGAGGAAATGCCAAACTGCCTTCCAGAGTCATCATACCATTTTACAATCTCAGCAGCAGTGCATGAGAGTCCCAGTCTCTCTGCATAGTCTCCAACAGGCTTGGTTTGTTTTTTGTTGGTTTTTTTTTTTTTTTAAATTCTAGTACTTGACATTTATCTCACAACTCTAATGTTTGATGTGCCTCGCTGAGTTGTTAGGACTCGGAGCCTTTTATGAGTTGGGACTACAGCTGTCAGCTTAGGCTGAAGGCTCCACTGGGGCTGGAGGATCAACATGTAAGATATCTGCTGCCTTCTGACTAGCAGTCCCTCAGACACTTAAGATCCCAGTGAGTTCCCTTGGCCTACGTATTTAGTGAGCACGCCAGGAGGTGTTGAGTTCCAGTTTGCAGTGACTTGGGTTAAGAGGTTTCATAATTCTTTGTCGTTTTTATAGTTACTAATAAAATGAGTTAGAGATAATACCCTGGTGATCTCAAAGTGGTAGAACTCTCAATTTTAAAAGGTGTCATTTTCCCGTGTTGGCTTGTGTTGTTTTGATTAGCCCCATATTCATGAAGTAGAATAATTACTTTTATACCGGCCTATTTTATTATCATCATTACTGTGGGCGTTATCATCTTATTGTTGTTTTGATTTCTTTTCCCTTGTAGACCAGTTATGTTGAACATCTTACATGTGCTTATTGACCAGGAGAATGTCCATCTTTATTTAATTGACTATGCAAAGGCATTTGACTGTGTGCTTGATAACAAACTGTGGCTGGCGTTGAGAAGAGTGGAAATCCCAGAACACTTAATTGTGCTTATTCAAAAATCTATACCTAGTCCAAGAAGCTGTTGGCTGAATGAAACAAGAGAACATTGCATGGTTTAATATTAGGAAGGATGAGAATCAGGATTGTATCCTTTCTCCATACCTACTCAGTCTGTATGCTGAGCAAATAATTGGTGAAGCTGGATTCTGAAGATTCCATCAAGACTGGAAGAAGACTCTTCAACAACCTGTGTTAAGCAGTTAACACAGTCTTGCTTGCTGCAGGTGAGAAGGATCAAAACGCTTGCTGCAGCAGATCAAGGAAAATAGCCTTCAATATGGATTACCTCTCAACACGAAAACAAAGGTCCTTACCACAAGGCTAATATCATTATCTCTATCATTATAGATAGAGAAAGGATTGAAACTGTCAATGATTTTATCTTGCTTAGATCCACAATTTAAGTGCATTCCCCTAATCTAGGGTACATTCCCTTGTATCAGCAGTCAGAAGAAAAAAGAGATGCTTTGCTTGGGACAAAGTCACTGTCAAGGACCTCTCCAAAATATTAAATAGCATTGATGTCAGTTTGAAGATTAAAGTGCTCTTTTGAGTCATTTGCTATGCATCTGAGAGCTGGACAGTGAGTAAGGATGACAGAAGAAAAACCAAAGCCTGTGAGTTGTAGTATTGGAGAAGAGTGGATATACCATAGACTGCCAAAAAGAACAAACAGATAGGTATAGGAGAAAGTGCAACCAGAATGCTGTTGGAGGCAAGGATTGCCAATCTTCATCTCTCATGCTTTGGGCATGTTGCTAGGAGAGGCTATTACTTGGAAAGGAGTATCAAGCTAGGAAAGGTGGAGAACCCCTACTGAGATGGATGGGCATGGTGATTGCAGCAGCAGGTGCCAGTGTGTCAGAGATGAAG